GTTCTGCGCCGCACCGTTCCACCAGCTGTTCCAGGCATCACCTTCCTGTCTGGCGGCCAGTCCGAGGTTGAGGCCACCGAGCACTTGAACGAGATGAACAAGATTACCGATGTCGTCAAGCCATGGTCCCTGTCCTTCTCCTATGGCCGCGCTCTGCAGGCCACCACCCTCAAGGTGTGGCAGGGCAAGAAGGAGAACGTCGATGCTGCCAAGCAGGCGCTCCTGTTCCGTGCCCAGGCCAACTCTCTGGCAACCTTGGGCAAGTACACTGGCGAGGGTGAGCTTACCGCAGCTGCTCAGTCTCTCTACGTCAAGGACTACAAGTATTAATGTTAATAAGATAGGAAAGAAAGTTAGAATTTATGAAAAAAATAGAACACAATGAATAGAAAGATAATTGTGATAGGGAGTGTAGAATTGTACTTAGTAAACTGACTTTAGTCGTACATGGCGGGCAGTTAATCCCATCGTATTGTTGCTGCCTGACTTGAGAGACGACAGTGCAACCGGATTCATATTCAATCCCAGGTTGCCATGTCCACCAATTGCTACGTGGTTACCAACGTACGGCTCGAACTGAGCCACTGCAGCGGCTGTTGTTGCCATGCTTGATGTCGGCGGCACTCCAGTCGCCAGTGCCTCTTCCATCTTGCGCTGATATCTACTCAACTCATCACCACTGATAACGGTTGATCTGCGTTTGATTGTTTTATTTGACATTGGAATCTGCGTAACGATAGCCGGCGATACTCTTGCACGAGTGCAGTACGCAACACGAGTCATATCCGATGCAGTGTCATCGACGGCTGTGGCGCAGCTGCTATCACTCATCGCAGGTGGAGGTGGCGGGAGAGCTGCCATCATGACTGGTGGTCTGAAGTCACTCATACTTGCAAAAACGTTGCCCATGGCATTCATTGAAACAACGGGAGTTGCTGGAGCAGTGGGCCATGCTGAGATGTCTGACATCATTGGCGGCGTGGTTCTGTTGAAGATGAGCGAAGAGTTGCCCGAAGCTGACACAAGAGCAGATCGGTTGAAACCACTTGATGCTGGTGATAAAATACCTCCATTGCTTGTAGTGGTTGCTATTGTGGTTGCAATGGTGGTACCGACCTTTTCCGTTGATGGATGTTGCTGTTGTTGCTGTTGTTGTTGATATTGTTGAGACGATGGAATTGTCAATTTGAGAGAAATAACTCCAGAAGGTGAGGTTAATGTGCCGCCTCCCGCGTTGCTGTTACTCTGTGAGATTGGAATTGTGGACATTGAAGACGTCACTCCAGTTGGCGTGCGAGGCTCACCACCGCTGCCAGCTCCGATAGCCAGGGGCATCATTGAGACAGTTGGAGTGGATGGGATATCGAGAGGATGCGGTCGGGCTCCACGTGGCATTGAAAGCGATCGCTGGTGATTTGGAGTGATTGGAGTTGGCAATGGCAGCGAGATGTTGGGCCATGGACTGCAGTTTGTAACATTGCATTGTTCAATTATCACAGCTGGAGTATTGTTGCCGTCTGCATTGCTAATGGTTGAATTCGAGTTATCCGGCAACTCGGACTTGGAGAGCGCAGATGCATCGAGCGACTTTCCACGGCGATGAGATCCAACAACTGATGAGAGTAGCCGAGTGGTTGGCGTTGATGGAGCTGGTTGCTGT